GGTAGAGATTCGTTGTCGGTATCAGTCGGGAATTTTGCTCCCTATCCAGGCGAACCTCTCGCAGATAGCCAAGATGCCGATATGGCCGCCGATGAAGAAGACGAAGATGGCATTTTGCCCGAAATCCTCTTTTTCGGCTTTCCAACATGCAAGCCACACTCCATGCTTTTACCCTTCTTTCACAGAAGTACACAACCAGTGACGTCACAGGGCTGTTTTGGAAGCGCCAAGATGGCCGCCAATTTTTATCTCAGCCGCTCAACTTCGAATTGTTAAAAATGTACTTTCCGCTATGCGTTGGCCCAAAAAAAGTACACAGCGTTTGCAAATAACGTTCAAACTCTATTATATTGCAAAAATCTTGGATAGGAAAATTACGTTTCAGTAGCACTTTAACATTTATGAGGTATCGGCTGATTGGAGTCTGGTGAAGAATAGTTGCTCGAGATTTCATTTTTGAGTATGAAGATAAACTTATTTACTTCATAAATGCCTTTTAAGTCGTGTGCTATTGTAGTTCTTCTTTGTTTTTACAGTAGGGGATGGCATCCACTAATGCAGCCTTTGCTATTTGAATGACTCACTCGCTGATTCCGTAGTTTTTGAAATGACTACTTAATATATTTTCTTCTCGGCATATTTCTAAGTTTTATTTGTTGTTAAGCGGGCTGACGGGATTAAATTAAGGCTGAAAAATACATTATCTGTCTACCGGTACCGAGGGTTTTACAACGGTTGCTGAAAGTGGATCCCTTTTGATGTTTTCTTGCACACTTGTTTTTATCTACTTAGTGGGTGTGGTTGACAAGGGAACATATTTCTCTTACTTAACTAGTTGTCTTAGAGTATGACGGTGATGGCCTGCGATTATACCTTCTTTCTCTTGTCATATTTGCGCACGCTCCAGGAAGGGTACACCTGATTTCACCTGATCGGCGGGTGGAAGAAAAAAGAAGATTATACTGTAAGGTCTTTTTAAGTCGTTTATACTCGGCTATCGGTTAATATGTAATGCGATCTCAAGCTCTGAAAGGCTTAACTTCTGCCGTTTTCTTAGCCTGTGGAGCTGGTGCTTAGCGGTAGGCTTAAGCGCACACAAAACGGTGAAGCACACCTCTATGCTCATCACTTAGTGCTCATAAAACGGTTAACTCCCATTAAACCGACAGATAAGAAATTTACCATTTTTTCGGTCCATTCCCCAATGCTCCTGAACACAGGCTGGTAATCGAAAGGCGTTGGAAACCAATGACGCGATCTCACTATCTGAGTGCGGCGAGCGGTGAACTGTCTGCGTGTGTTTGAACGTTGTCTATTAGATGTAGAATGGTCGAAGCAAAACAACAGGACACTAGACATCTGGTCGAGCTTCTTCCACCCATCTCAGCTCATTCAATCTTTCCTCACCGAACCGAACCTCATTTCATCTTATACATCTTTTCTCGCTCAAGCCACCTCATCACAACTTACCCACCTCACCCCCCATCTTACTAATAGTACCCACCCTACCAGTGTTACTACACCAAAACCATCTAATCAAACCCTACCTCAGCCACAGCACCCATCTCTCTCCATTCCTTCGTCTCACTCCCCCTCACCCCACCAGTCATAAGCTTACCCAATCCCACCCATCTCCCGTCACTTTTTTAAATTTGATCAGGAGTTCATTTCGCCGTGAGTCATAATTTGTTTAAGTAACAGCATTTTACTTCCAATTCCCTTTAAATGCGAGAGTCGTCAGAGCAAAACAACAGAGAAGAAATAACACAAAACATATCACCCTTCCACGTATTGCTTTTGCATAGTATCATTTCTGTATCCAACTGAACGTTTATGTTTTTCTCCTCACATCCATTTTGTGATGTAATAATTTTAATGACTTGACTTGGGTTCGGTGGTCTGTGAACTCAGTCATATTTATGTTCAATATGGTGTCGACGTTCAATCGGCGTTCTTCTGGTTTTGCCTCTCTACGCTTGTTGATTGGTCTAGAAAGCTTGCAGCATCGTCTCAACCAATCTAGTTCTAAAAGAGATTAAATCTAAGCACGGCTTAAACATTTGTATTTCCCCGCGCTTAACCAAGTTTCATTTCTCATTGGCAGTGTAGATTGAACAAAAAAACTCAAGTGAGAGTAGCTTTCAATTGAGTGACCGATAAGTATAAGTAAACCAAGATCGCATTATTATTGCCGCTTTTAGTCTGAGTTTTCAATATGTCCTTGTGAAGTTGTGAAATGGCAGTTGTGATTCCAGTCGAGCCTGTATTAAAGAGCACCATATAAAGCAGTCACTCTGTACTGATTGGTTGGTTGTCACAGTCCCGTAAAATTTTCCTTTAATTACTGAAATTTTCACCTCTATTAAGGTGATTCCTCAGTATTGCATTGCGCATCCTGTCCTGCGCATAAAAATCACTTAATTAGGCGAATCAGAGCGCGCGCATTCTGAGATTGTAGAAATATTTTAGAAAATAGTGGCCCAGGTAAAAAGGAACGATTGTCTTAAACTAATATGGTTGTGAAATTCTGGTACCTCATTGACAAGAACAGCTTCTCAGTGCAGGCAGTGGTAGGGTGAGATCTCAGCTAAAATGGTCTAAAATCGTCACCAGAGAACAAAAATAGCAAAAACAACACTATTTGAAAGTTAGAGTTTGTTTGCTCCATTATTTTCGGAGTTACAGGGCAGAACCTAAACTCCCCTTCAAAGCGGCCCTATAATTTTCATCCTCTCAAGTAAAGTTTGTGATATTATCCTCTCAGGGAGAGCTTGGGCACCCTGTGCTGTGCACATCGGGGAATCTCTCATACAAATGTAGCCGTTATAACGAATAGTATGAGCACAGGCGACCCAAGCTCTCTTTGAGAACCACACAAGGAACACAATCTGCATATCGATTTATGAGGATTTGTATGGGATTTTCTACAAGATATCCATAGAGATAGTTGAAAATGAAAATATTAAATAAAAATGACTTACCTTATTCCATACGTGTGTTGCTTGCTCCTGGTGTCGTTATTTTACCGATTTCACTTGATTTAAGCGGTTTTTTTAATCCTGGTTTTCTCTTCTTAAAGAGAAGACTTCGTTCGGGAGGCTGTCTGGACAGAAGTGTTCGGCCTTGTCTTTTCTTTAAGAAGAGAAAACCAGGATTAAAAAAACCGCTTAAATCAAGTGAAATCGGTAAAATAACGACACCAGGAGCAAGCAACACACGTATGGAATAAGGTAAGTCATTTTTATTTAATATTTTCACTTTTAACTATCTCTATGGATATCATGTAGAAAATCCCATACAAATCCTTATAAATCGATATGCAAATTGTGTTCCTTGTGTGGTTCTCAAAGAGAGCTTGGGCCACCTGTGGT